CCAAACTATTTAAGTCAAGCATGCCCCACTCACCCCACAGCATTTAAAACAAGAAACAGAGCAAGAAGAATCAGTGTGAAGTACCAAAAAAACCTTTATTTTTCCCCCAAACCATAACAACATTTGACATTATACTGATTTCCTCATATATTTGTTATTTCTCTACATTAGGAACCAGATACAGAAAATACAAACACGATCTGTTGAATCAAAGACGGCACAGCATTCCGTTAGAAAAAGAAACAAAAAAACTAGAGGAGCAAGATAGAAATGGTGAAAAATAGTCATTCCCTCCAGCCCAAACTTTCCAAGAATCATCATCAAAATAGAGCAGTGGAAGTAGCTTCTCTTTCTAAACGCACTTCTGCTTTAAGACAAAAGTTAGATTTATCTTTAGATTTTTCAAAGTAAAAAAATGTTAAACTATCTTTCAAGCAATTTTGGAAGTTTGCATAGACCCATTCCCTTTCCAAAAATATCAGCCATCTCTCTATAGAATCTGATACAAATCGAGTGCGCCTCAGCCGAAGGTCACCAAGCTCAATTCACTTTCAAGAAAATAAAACATGATCTCCCCTTCCCCTCCCTCCCCCCACAAAAATATGGGCTCTACCATTATTCCACGTGTTTGAGGCAAGTTCCCAGGCTCATCCCTCGCTCAGAGCTTCATCCCAAAATTCCTTTTCATTTCCCAGGTTTCCAGTCCTGCTGCTCTGCGGGCAGCGGGATGGGGGGCGCAGGGAGGGGGCTGATGGACACAGCTCTCAGCAGGGAGGTGGGGGGAATTCTGCACTCATCAATCCCTCCCCACAGCCAGGGAAAGCGGCTTCTCAAGGACAAACACCTGCAACCAGGCAGAGTTTGTAGGAACTTGTCCCTGGGGACTGGCCTTGCCCAAAGGGCGCGGTCACCAGAGCAAGAGCTCAGCTAGAGACCAGGAGGGGCAGCAGGGAGGGGCAGGAGGGGTCCAGGGGGGGCTGCAGCCCCAGGTAAGGCAGCCAGGAGGGCAGGGGAGCCCCTCACCAGGAGGGGTTTCACTGTGGTGCTCTAGCGTACCTGGAGTGAGGTTTTCCCAGAGGTTCCTGGCAGCAGCGCAGAGACCAGCTGCGCTGCCACCCGCTTAAAAAGAAACAGCAACGACAAAATAAATAAAAAAGTCAACCCCCTCCTATTCAGATGAGAATGAAATACTATTTCTTCAGGCCTCCACCTGGTTTGGAACCCTCTAAAAACTGAAGCAAACGTTTAAAAGGGCTTGTTAACCTGTCTGCAGGGGGCAAAGTGATGTGGCAATGAGGGGAGGGAGAAATCACACGCCTGCTGCCCATCACTCCAAGGGTCAGAACAGCACGAGGCCCCCATTTAAAGTGCTGACCATGCAAAAGATGATGATGAGGGAGCAACATCCTTCTCCTCCCTTTTCCCATCACAATTTCCAACTGAAATCCATCTCCTTCACCAAGAAACGACTAAGCCTATTCTTCTGGACACTCAGTTTTATATTGGTTTTAAAAAAAGAAAAGAAGTTAGTAAAAAAGTTACACTGAATTTCCTAACGCTTTGCAATGTGCTTCCACCAACTAAAGGTCTGGAAACCAGGAGCAGAGCTCACATGTTTTGCCTGATCCCAAGACTGAAGCAGAGAGCCAGCTCTGCTCTCCAGGGCCAGCCAGGCATGAGCAGCTCTGCTCGTCAGCATCAGAGACCCAGGGGATGCAGAGTCTTGCCAATAAGGTTCTTTTACTTGTTTAAGCCACCTCTGAATCCCCTGAGAAGGGGAACAATGTGGGGAAGAACATTCCCCCCCCTAAGCCCCCCCTGAAATAAAATATCAATGAAACAATGCAGTCAAAAAAAAAAAAAAAAAAACCACCAGCCTGCTGGGTTTGTATAAAAAAAATTCCATAAACTTCACAACAAAAAAGAAAAACCCAAAGGAAACTAGCCAGCGGTTTGGGTCTGGAAACTGATTCACTTCTTAAATGTTCAAAGTACAACAAGGAGCAGGCAGCAGGGATGCCACAAGGAAAAAAGTGCTTGTGAGATGCAGCTTCCTGAGGCAGCAGTGAGTGTGTGGGACCAGGACCCCACAGGCACCACCTCGGGTGCTGCCCAGGGACTGCTGGGCACTGCTTGTGCTGGAGCTCTGCACGGGATCTACAAACAGGAACAGACTGCTCCAGCTCCCCCAGCTGTGCTGCCCAAAGCTGGATGACCAGGACTACTTATTGAAAACCAGGGGCAGGAGAGCTAAAAAGCCACACAAAGATCAGAATCTGTGGAGGGACTAATGTGGAGACAAGGAGGAAATTCCCTATGGGACACAGTTATCAGAAATGCAAGCAGTGATGTGCCAAGCCACTGGAGAGAAGCCAAAGCCATGCCCAGCTTGGCCACAGTGATGGGATGGAGCAGGCTGTGCCTCTGCCAGCCTGGGAAGAAGAGACCAGTGCTCTCAAAAGCTCAACTGCTTCTCTTGCTTTGCTGGGAAGATATTCCTCCTCTGTCCCAGTGATTTCTTGACATGCCAAGCTGCCAGTGCCTCAGAGCAGCCCAGTCTGGAATGCCCTGGGATCCCAACTGCTCTGACAGTGACTGCCATTGTTCCTCATGGGAACAGAAGCAAAGCAGCAAAATGAGCTGGGTTTTAGCCTCTTTCCTGGCTTATGCTTGCTCCTTTCAAGTCCTGGTTGGATCTGATTTCCTGAGGGGCTTTGTTGGCCCCTGGGGAGCAGCCAGAGTTGCTCTCAGCCCTGCAGGGCCATGCACAGAGAGGCAGAGCAGCCCCTGCTGCCCGAGCCTCCTCCTGCCCTCACCCTGACCTGAGCACACGGTCAGGCCAGGCCTGGCACTCTGGCACTGCCCCAGGGAGACAGAAAGACAAACAGTTCTGTCCTTCCTGCAGCCACGTGGCACCCCAGGAACAGGGCAGGATGCTCAGCAGCCTGCAAGTGAGTGCCAAACCTACCCAGGCTGAATGAAGAAGAGATCACCATTAAAAAAAAACCTAGCAAGTGTGAAAGAGCTTTTGTTCTAGACAGTCTCAAAAAGATCCAGCACTTTTCCCCTATGTTAAACCAAACCAAGGTGTTGTCTGTATCCCCTTTTTACCATAATTCAAATTTAATTCCCTTTGAAGGGAAAGGGTGGAAAAGATGCATATCCTATATGTGGTCTGTCCAAACACAGAAAGAAGCCTCTTGACTCCAAGAGAGAAACCATCAAAACAGAGTAAGCAACTGTATAGTTCTACCACACTGCTGAGCACCCTCCCCATGCAGCATCCTTAGCCAGAAGGGTAAAAAAAAAAAAGCTAAATCAAGGCCCTTTCATTCCTTGTTTCTCATTCTGCCAGATTCCCTTTTCCAGCAGCTCATCTGCATGCATTCTGGCCAAAGAGACCACAGTTAATGCTTTTTTTTTCCTCCTTTAAAAGAGGCTTTACAATAACTCAGAATTTGAACAACGTGATCAGTTAACAAGCCTTTCCTTGCTGAGCAGTGAGTGTGTGCCTGAACACACAGCCACAAGTGCCAGAGGGGAGCCAGGTCCTGCAGAGGGCATGGCTGCCACAGAACACTGGCAAAAGAGGAATGGGCAACACACAGAAATAGCTTATCAGCTGAGGGGCTCTGTAAGGGAGGACTGCAAGCACAGCCTGCCCAGATCCTCGCTGGAAATTCAGCTGCCAGGAGAGATCTCCAAGTGGAAGCTGAAAGGGATGCACATCTCTGCCACACACTGCAGGGAAAAGTGTCAAACAACTGCAGAAACCAAACCCAAAGAAGAGCAATTGAAAGATAACCAGAGAACAGTTTGAAGCCTTGTCACAAGAGTTCACTCACCACAGAGCAGGTCAGATCAGCTGCTGTGGCTAATGCAGCAGCAAACATCCCTTCTACCCTTGAAGGCAGAGACAGTGGCTTCTCCCCAGCCCCAAGAGGAACCAGCACAGGCACAGATCTCTGCTGACAGGATAAGAAAGGCCAAGCAACACCAAATCCCTTACTGGCACAGGCCAAGAGAGGCAATTGACATCACCACCTCAACAGAGACACCACTGCAGTCAACTGCATCCAGCTCTGGCCCAAGGAAAAGCTGTCAGACGAGATTCTTTTCACAGTCCAAGAAGGGCAGTTCCCTTCCTGAGCCAATGAAACAAGGAAAAAAAGCAAAAAAAAAAAAAAAAAAAGAAAGAGGCTTTGTATTCCAAGCTCCAACAGGACTATTTGCTGAATCAGTCCAGCAAACACAGATTAAACTCCTGGAATAGTGAGTAGAAGCCTCCTCCAGGTAAAATCTATAAGCTCTAAAGTGCTCCTGCTAATGCTAGTTGATGAACACCCCCTTCCATGCCCAGCAGTGGAAGGGCTGCTGCAGTCAGTGGTGTGATGAGCACTCACATTGAACCGTTCACCAACTCCCAGCTGGATTGCAGTAGAGTTTTCTGAAATGCACTTTTGGGAAGTATTTCCTATGAGAAGATGTTGTTTGGGGATGTGAGGATAGGAAGGTGAAGTGTACACCACAGCATACATTGTTCAGTAAAACCATTGCCTTGGGAGGTGATGTTCCCTTGCAGAGTCAATGGAATAAAGCATCCTGCAAGTGGCCATGTCACCATGTCCCCAACAAGCAGCTCTGGGTTTGGTTAGAATGGTTTCCCCCACCCCCAGTGGTTTGAAGAGTTCACAGTGGTATAACCCAAAGTTTTGGGGAGACAGAAACTGAGACATCCCCTGCTGCAAGTGAATGGGTGGAATGAGGGATGCAGATGAGCAACATCCTCTGGGACTAGCCCAAGGATAAATCCCACAGACACCTCGTGTCTGAGCAGGAGCAGGGGAAGGCATGCACTGGGAGGACCAGGAAGCAGAGAAGGACAATGCCAATGCAGGGAAAGTGCATGTTCTGGAGTGGTCTCGGAGTCGTTCTGCAGTGCAAACGTACAGGGAGGGGTGTGGAGAAATCCCTTCTGGAATGCTGCATGAAGAGAGGTAAAGGTTGGCATCCAGGTGGCAGCAGACTGGGTAGGGGGCCTGTGTCCAGCAGCTCTACCCTGTTCTTCACATTTAGTGGGTTTCAATCACCACTGGCTCGTAAACTCCAGATGAGACCCTGGGGAGGCAGAGGGGAAGAGGGGCTGGTTATTTTCCAGTCATTTCAGCAACCAAGATGTGATTCAGAGCTCTCCACTCTCAAACATCATCTAAGCCCACTCAGAACACTGCCAGTAACGAGCCAGCCTTGTGGGAAGTCAGTCCTTGGAATACAGAGGGGACAAAGAGGTGGCAAATCAGCAACAGAGCCCTGGAGAGAGCTGGGTGTGACACACAAACCCTTCTGTACAGACACAGAAAAGGGAGAGTATCCTGCCCAGAACAAAGCCAGCCTGGCTTTGCTGTGTTCCCAGCTTTGTTTCCAGCTTGATACATCTTTGCATTACCATTACTGCTCTTTTTAATTCAATGGAAAGATGCAACAAAGACTCAAACACAACTGGACAAGAGCTGTACTAAGTGCTATAGTGGCAAGAAAAAGTTTTATTGCTTCAGAAGGCTTTAATGAGAGAACAAGCCTTCGAAGGTTATGGAAGAGGCAGAGAGAAGGGACAATAAGGGGCAGGGAGAAGGGACAATAAGGGGCAGGGAGAAGGGACAATAAGGGGCAGCAAAAGGGACAGTAAATGCTGCTCTGCTGCAGTTTTGCTGCGGGCCAGCAGGAGGCAAAGCTCCTCCTTCAGGAACGAACGGGAACCAGCCTCTACCATTTTGTCCTTTCACTCCTCATTTCTGTTCCTGGGTCTAGCAACCAGGATCCCATTATCCCTCTGAGCTCCTGCTGAGAACTGCGCTCATACTCGAGTGCAACTGCAGCCTGCCACCAAAGGGATCCCAGGCTGTTAATGTGGAATAAAGCCACCATGTAGCACATGATATTTAGAAATCTCTCCTGTAGTAAAAAGTGCAAGTTTCCTAGGTACAGAGCCCACAAATCTCTCTGGGGCCCCTCTGGCTGCCAGCTTTTTGGGAAACCTACCTGTTTCCCAGCTGAATACCACTCAGAGTAGTTGTTCCATCTCTGCTCACAAACAACCTCAGGTTACTGTCTGCAGATAGAAAAGGAAATCAAAAGAGAAATCAGACCTCAAAATCCAGAACTGCTGAGGCTGCCAGGAACTCCCCTCCCAGACACACCATCAGCACAGAACAAGTGTGTCTCAGCAGATGCACATCCACATTGCCTGGTGGTGCTCCCACAGTCACTGAGCCCCTGGGAACCCTTTCTTTGCTCCAAAGGGAAACCTCCACAACATGCAGCTTTGGAAGAATAGAGGCAGAGATATTAATTCACTCATTGCCTGTTTTAAGGCAATTTCATGGCTGCAAGTTCTTGGTCAGCTTATGCACATCTGAACAGATTAGATGTGGGGCCTCACACTGCTTTGGTAGAGTCACTGGAGGAGAAACTCAGCCTGTTCTGCTGGGGAGAGGCAGCTGCATCCAGTCTGGTTCTAACCCACACTGAGTGAGGTATAACTCCCCACATAATAAGAGTGCTGCCATGTGCAACAATTTAAGGTGACTAATGGTAAATTAATGAAGCACAGATAACAAGCTAGGCTCAAGTCTAAAACTTAACAGAAAACCTCAGATAAAAAAAATCAGATTAGAGGTCAATTTCTATGCTAAAGTGGAAAATGAAACTGAAAACAAAAGCAGTTACATTATTAGTTCTCTCCAGACAGATGCTGTGACTGCAATGGAGAAAATTCCTCCTTAAGCTTTTCAAAAGACCTGATCACCAGCACATGGTAACCCACATTTCTGTAGAGATGTGCTGCTTCCCTCCAGTTGTGCTCTCTTTTGCTAAATACCCTTGGCCTGACCCTGGACAAAGGCCACTGGAGCTGTGCAGACAGCTGATGCAATTCATCTCCACTGTGCTAAGAATCAGTGTTTTTCCTCTCTCTCCCTGCATGTTTGAGCTACTATTCAATCTCTGCTTCATGTGTGAAACAACAGCAAGTGCTATCTGTAAATACATGTGCAGCTCTCAAACCCACACGGTTTATCTACCACAGAAACACCCAGCAAGCACTGAAGGCAAACAGCCGTCAAAGGAGAAGGGAGCCCATGGCAGATCAGATCTGACTGCAAACACTTGGCAGCCCTGCAAAAGGAACAACCCAGACATCCCCTCTGAGGCTTCTCCTCTCACCTTCAGTATTGCTGACATCTGTGAAGTCCTGACTCTGCATTATTTTCTCCACTATGTCATCAGCATCGATCCTGGTGTCATCCACTCGCGTTGGGTGACTCTCCATTGAATCCTTTTTCCTTCTGGCAAGAGGAAATCCAGGACAAACTTACTCATCTTTTCAAGACACAGACTTCTACATACTGCCCTGCATTTCTTGGCCACAGCCTCCTCCACAGTGGCCACAATTCCACTGCTGCCTGGAGACAAAGGAGCGGGTTCTGTCTCTCCTTCCCAGGTCTTTGCTGCACTGTCACTCACCGGGAGGGTCTGTCCAGCAGCAGGGGTGGTCTGGGGGGCCGAGGTGGCTTCTCCAGCTTGTGCTCCCTCTCTCCCCCCTCAGGGTACTCCACGGTCATGCTGAGCCCCCCCGAGGCACTGCTGCTGGTGGAGGTGTTGCGGCGGTGGGTCAGGTCGGACATGCTGGAGGAGCGGGAGTGCTCCGTGCTGTAACCTGCCAACACAGGGGCACAGAGCTCAGCTGCTGCTGCTCCCACTCCTGGCAGCACAGAGACAGGCAGGGAGATCACAGCTGCACTTCTGCCCTTGCACACAGAGGTTTAGACATCTGTGAGCTCATCGGCAGAGACTGAGCAGGAGGCTGGTATTATGGGTATTACAGAGAGAGATGGCTGCAAATCTCTCTCACAGGGGCTTGCTGCAGGAAGGAAAAGGGAAAAAGGGAGGCAGAGCTGTGTGGATCAGTGGTTACCAGAGATCTTGGACTGCTGGCTGGCATAGCTCGAGTTCCGCGAGTGCCCTGAGTGGAAAACTTCCTCCGGGCTGGACAGGTTCTGATCGGACTCCTCTGGGACACCTGCCAAGGAAAAGAGGACACTGCTTACACCACAACCACTGATCACTGGGAGGGAAGACTGATCTTGGAATGAAAGATCAAGGAAAGGGCAGTCTACTGGCCAGAGTCCTGCTGCAAAGGCCAGCACAGGGCTTAAAAATACCCAGGGCATAGGAAAGACCACAGTGAGCTGTGTCATGTTTATCACTATTTCTATCCAACACGTGAATTTACAAACATCTCTGGGGGGCTTGTAGCATCTAGAAGGACAAGTAGTGTCTGAAACTATGCACAGTTAAAGGCATCAAGCTATGTAAGCATCAAATGACCACTGGCAGTAAAATATTTCAACCTCTGTTTGGATGCTTCTGTTAGCACCTTTCCTTTTCTATTACTTCTGAGAGAGCCTGCACCATTTAAATAATCTCTGAATTTGCTACAGACACTTCAGCATGAGTCCTGCTCCTTGGCCCTGCTTGTCTCTCTTGCAGGAAGCTTATCCAGAAGGGCACAAATGTAACACATTAGCCAGCTTTTTAAGAACAACACTTGCACCACGTGCTCTGTCAACTGAGGGGATGAGACTCCGGTGCTATTTTGGTGCAGTGTATCTGCCTGCACATTTGGAATGTGCTGGGAAGGAAAAAAACTGATGTGAAAATGCAGTGCCCTTGAAAACAGGCTCATAGAGAAGGCAAAGAACTGCATCAGCAGCTGGAACAAGGCCACTAGACCTTAAACCAACCTCTAAAACCTTCAGAGGAACTTTTCTAGAAGATAAGTCTGAGCAACAGAATAGCTGAGTGCAGAACAATGGTAAGTATCACTGAACACAGTGGAAAGCAGGGATGAGTGCAGTGCATGAATTATTAAATCCCCAGCAAAAAGAACAAATTGCTTTATCTCCACTAACAGAAACATGCACGTGGCAAATATTCAACCTTCCTCAGTTACACTTAGATGGCTTTGTTATTCTCAATATTCTGAATGAGCAATGAGGGTTGAGGATGGGTGTGGAAAAACATGAAAAATTAGAGAGTTTCTGTGCTTGCAACTGCTGGGAAAATCAAAGGAGTGTCCAAGCAGAGCCAGGCATGGCCTGGCTGCAGGGTGGGCATTCAGACCTGAGCTGAGGATGGCAGTTCTTGGCTTGGCCTGGCGCAGGGAGCCAATGGTGGAGGAGCTGCTGCTGCTGCTGGTGGTTCCCTCGCCCTTGCAGGTCAGCTGCAGAGTGGAGTCCTGCCCTGGGATGGTGATGGACTTGGCAGTGGAAGGAGGCCTGGAACAGAAGGGAAGGAGGTTACAGACTGCCAGGCAGGGAGCAGCCACCATTCTGTCCATCCCACCCTTTCAGCAGGGGGAAGCTGGCAGCCCTCTGACCAGCAGCTCAAATGGGATGTTGGGTTTTGTTTGCCCACATGCAAGACTGGTGTGGTCCCTACCTTGGACTGCAATACAAGAAAAAACAAATTTTTGAGGTAAATTAAGACAAAAAGGGGCCATTTATTCATTTATATAGGACAGCAGGCTCAGAACTTGCTCCAGGACACATCCAGAGCTGCCCTTTCACCCCTAACATGTGTCCATGCCCAGCTGGCTCCACAAACTGGAACCAGTTTGTCCCACTCTCAAATCCAGCTTCCTTTCTCCTACACCTCTTTGGCCAAAATGAAACCTTTTATCCCAGCAACCCTGTCCCCTTATGAGAGCACTTTGACAACAATCAAATAACCTTTCCCTTTTTTAACTGACTTTTAAACTCCTTTTCAGAGAAACTAAAGTGTTTTTCCAGCTGTCAGAATTATTTTTCTGGTTATTCTGTGAGCCTGCAACATCCCTTTGTAAATGCTGACTGCAGGGCAGATCTGTGAGTGCCTGGAGCCCCCTCCCTTCCTCCAGAAGTACTTTTGGGTGGAAGCCACAGCATGTGCAGCGTGGCAAAGTGAATATTCCTGTTGGAGCCCTAACCTCTCTCTGCAGCCTGAAGAGTTTAGTTCTGAACTGGAACTAAAGAACCATTTTACGGTTTTTAAGTGAGGAGTGAGAAATAAAACCTTTTGTCTCCCTCAGAGCTCTGAGGAAAGATGTTACATGAGAAGGGATCTCTGCAGTATTTTGGAAGGCAGAATATTTAATGTGGGCAGCTGAATGGCTATAAAGCTTTCAGGAAACTCGCAGCATGCCTTCACCAGGAAAAAAAACCTTCCTTAATCACCTTATCAGTGATTTGCATGCGCCCAGGTGCTTTGGGGACTTGGCTTGACAGGTTTTTAAGGCTTTTACAACCTTAAGCAAGCAAACTGTTCCTGCAGCAGCTGTGGGAGCAGCCTCTTGCTCTGTCAGCTCTGCCCCTTTCAACAGCCCCAGCAGGAGAAGGTTCATGGAGTGCTGCAGAAAATCAGTGCTTGGAAGTGATTTCCCAGCACAGTTTAATTCCTGCCTAACCCTCTAATGAGTGTCATTTACCAGAAGCTCCACTGATCAAGGACTATTCCACATGCAAAGTTTCTATTTTTAGATATTTGCACATCATCAACATAAAAGGGAAAAGTGGGAATGACTGCAAAAATCCTTCAAGAAAATTAGGTTTGACTTTCAGACCGAACCTACTTACATTAAATGGATATTTATATCCTATTCTGTGTAATTTCAGGCATTCTAAGAGTGGGACTTGCTTCCATTGCAAAGGAGCAACAGGTATTTTTGTAAGACATTATTACCAGACGTCCCAGCACCCTAGATTTAGAACATCTGTTACTGCTATAAAGTTATGGTTTAAGATACTCAAAACTTCTATATTACACTTTGTTCTGAAGCAGAAATTCTTCAGAATCAGATGACACTGATGCTGGGTTCAGAAGTGTCAGAAAATACTGCAGCACTATGAAAAGCCACTTACAAAACAAACCTACCAAAAATCATGCAGCATTTTTAACAAGAATTTGAGCTAATTTATGCACTCCAAGCTAGCTCCTAAAATTAGATCTACAGGAGTTGGCCTCAAGGTAAAGCTTTCTTCTCTCATTCTGTTGGGAGGCAACATGAAATATTCCTTTGGGCACATGGCAGCCCTGCTGTGCAGTCACACACCTTCAGCACAGTTGGGACTGTGATGCTGCACTGTGGTGTGAGATCAGGATATTTGTTGATTCACCAACAATTCTTTAAACAGCAGAACTGCTCCCCAGCCAAACTGTACCTATCCTTTCCTATCATTATGCATTAAAAAAACCCCACATTACTGCAATTTCTCTGCTAATTAATACAAGTTGTGAGCCCTGTAGGGAAAAAAAAGTTAAAGTGATTCAGCCTTGAAGTATTTTTGTTGCTGTTTCAATCTGAGATCTTTATCCCCTATGGTATGTGCTGAAGCGTGTCCACTTCCAAGACTGTTTTCTTTATTGACCTTTCTCCTCTTGGAGGTCAGTGAAACCAAGCTCAGAGCCATGAGAAATTCCATCCTTCATGCAAAACATGAAGTCCGTAATCAAAATCTACTCATTTCTAAAACCTGAGTTGCACCAGCAGGGAAAATACTGTGCACAGCAATAATGAGAGCTGGGAAAGCCAGAGCAGAGAGTAAAACCAATTAACAGCACAGGCTGGCTGTGCTTTTCTGGTTGATTCAACCAGTTTTACTGTAATTCCCAATATCAAGGGCACCTTTTCCCCTCCCTTCATCAGTTTTAGTGTCTGCCCAGAACAGGGTACAGGCAGGAACTCACGTTTTGAAGCAGGGGTCCCCAGAGAGCAGGGACATTCCGATGGTGACCTGGAGAGGGGACACAAGGCACATCATCAGCTATGCTGCACTGAGCTCCTCCCTTCACAGCAGCCAGGAGCTCAAGGGCTAGGTGTAAAGATCAGCTAGATCTAACTCCTTTCCCAGGGAAATCAGCTTCAGGGATTTAGCAAAGTATCTCCCTCCCTGCCCCAAATCCCTGCATCACTAACTCCAAGTGGCAGTGGCTCAGCAGGACACCAGCTGGGTCATGCTGACAGTGCCTTGTAACATTTCCCTCCCTCCTGCTCCTGGGTTTTTTGTTAAGGGTCACTGCTTGGCCAAATCAATGCCAAATTATCAAAGGGCAACTCTGATAATGGGAAACTTCCCAAGTCAGTCTAGCAGCACAAAAGCAAAATCCTGTCTCTGTACATAACAGGACGTTCTCCCAGGCCTGGCACTGTGCTGTGATCTCCCCAAAGTAGGATTTCTGCTCTGTAGGTTCTGGCTGTTGTACCTTCAGGATGGAGTTGTCCTGTCGGGTGTTCTTGGTATCATATCCTTCCAGCAAGCAGCAACGGACAGTGGATCCAGAGCCTGCAAATTCTGCCAGATTGAGATCAGCAAAGCCCAGCTGCAGCCAAGGAAACAATGGAGGGAAAGGTGAGAAAACAGACATTACTCCATAACGGGATACACAGTGTCACACAGCCCAAACGGAGAGAACAGGAGCCAGGACACAGAGTGGTGGCTGTGAAGATTCTTGAGGATGGACAGGGTCACATTCCTAACCCCAAACTAGATGGACACTTGGAGACCTTCAGGAAGCCAAGCCCACATGGAGGAAGGGTGTACAGTAGTGCTGGTGGCCAGGACAGTGTTAACCAGCCTGCAGCCATTGCATAACCAAGGACATGGAAGGCACCAGGTCAACAATGTGGAAAAAACACAATCACACATACACAAACATAATAAGGCCCTCTTTGTATCGGGCCATCCCAGAATGCAGTGGAGCATGTGAACCAGGAGATGAAAGGATATTGTTACAGGGGAAAGTGACACCATCCTGACAAAAACAACAGACTATGGGCACGGGGAGCCGGAGGCCCAGAGCCATGGGGCTCTCACTGCCTGAGCCTCACCCCTCAGAGGCAGCTGCTGGGCTGGGCAGCTCCTCCTCAATGCTGCTCAGGTTTAACCAGCAAGGGGTTGGTTTGGCACGCAGAAGGGAAGAGAAACATTTGGAGAGATTTAGTTGTGAGCTCTCTAAACCTTCCCTAACAAATGGGAAGCAAACAGGGAAGGTGACAAAGCTGAAGATCACACGCATTTCTTAAAAGGGCACCGATCCCTCCAGAGTAAATACACACACAATGAAGAGCACCTTTGTTTTCCTGCCCTAATCCCTGGTGTATTAACACAGTGTTTCAAAGAAAAAGTTACAGCTTGTTTTATGCAGAGCTTTAGGAACAGAAGGCAGTTGTGTCCCATCTCATCTGATCAGCAGGACATGCTGTACTCTGTATGTGGCCAAAGCATCCAGGCGTGGAGCATCTGCGTCACAGCAGGGCAGGGCAGCTCCCAGGGGAGCAGGGAGCACAGGTGGAGCAGCAGCAGCAGCAGGTCCTTCTGTCCTCCTGGGCTCTGCACACATCCCTTCTGCCCTGCTGCTGACAGCTGCATGACAACTGAACAGCAGCACCATCCTATGGAACTGTGGTGCCCCTGAGGAAGCTGATGGAGAGTCCCAGCACAGAACAGTCACTGCCAGAGGAACCCTGGCTCCCACTGCTCCAAGAATCACAGTCTGATCAAGATACATGATTGAGGGGGAAACAGCAAGATTAATGTCACTGCTTCCTTCATCCCATCCTCAAAGGGCAACTTCTGATGGCAAATGAAAAAAAAAATGGGATAGAGAGGGAACCTTTTATCAGGAAAAAAACCCAAACCTTTCTTCCTCTCTTCTCATTTCTTAAGAATTCCTTTAATGCAAGTGTTTCTTCAGCCCTTGCTGCAGAAATTTCTGTCTCTTCAAGCCAAGGGCTATGCCATTTGCTAATTATTCACCGATAAGGAAAAAAGTTTCTCTCTTAGAGATAAACAGGACAGAGGAAAGCCACAGAAGGAGCTGCAATCCATCACTGTGACAAAGACACAGCACCACCACAGCAGGAGAACAGCATGGCACAGGGGTGGCCCAGACCCAGATCCCTCTTCCTCCACCACAGCACTAAATTCTGAGATGAGACCAACACGGGAGCAGAGCGTGGGAGAACCCTCCAGCAGCTCACATGATGTGCTGAGGTCAGAAACTCTTTCAGGAAGCAGACTCCCAGTATATAGAGGAAAGATCCCTTAACAAAAGGATGTTTTCAGATATAACCTTCCAGAATAGTTTCCTCAGTTTTCCAGCCAGCTGATGGTGTTTCTCCCAGCTCAGGGAAAGAGTTTCTGCTTTATCAGTCCTTCCTGTCGCCTTCCGCCCTGTCACCCCTGACACTGAGGTGACATTCACGTCAAAGCCCAAGGTGGGCAAGGCACTGGAAACTGCTGGGAGCACAAACAGCCCCAACACCCTCAGTCCCTGCTCATGGGCATGAGGTATGCCAAGTGCAGAGGGCATTCACAAGTCTCATCTTCCTCTACATCTGCTGCTGTGACTGGAGGAGTTCTCAGCTGAATTTGGAGAGTTTAAAAAGGTGGGGACTCGTGATGTAAAATAAGAAAACAGCTGCATGGACATGCACCACAGACTTCTGCTAGAAACATCAGGAAGCCCAAACCAGTTCTGTCATGAGAAACTGCACAGAACAAGCCTGGTCCACTGGGCAAGATTGCAGTCACTCTTGTCTGGTGTGACATCTCTCATTTCTGAGCTGCCTCAGATCATCTTCTCAGAGAACACACCTGCTGTCTTTTTCACGAAGACCAAGCAAGATACCAGCCCAAGAGACAACAAGTACTTGAGATTTGGTCTCCAGTTCTGGGCTAGAGGAAGTCAGTCTCTGTTAAATGCCACTAAACAAAACTTAAGACTGAGCAAAAAGGAAGTAGGTTAGAACATGACCTGAATAAGGTCTCCAGGTTAACTCCACCACAGAAATGTGCCTTCAGGCTTCCTTGAATTCTGCCTTCCCAAACCCTGCAGAAAGCTTCAGGATGGACATTGCAGGAGGCAAAGGTTGCATTTGCTATGTCCCTTCCTCCAGCTATGCTGCTCTCCCTGGACATGCAGCCCTGCAGAATTAATAACCTTCCCATAGAGTGAATTTAGTGAAAAAGAGACTGATGGCCCTAGAGACCATGTCCTAATTAGCAACAAAAAAAGGAACAAAGCCACAGTGCCTTCTCCCACCCAGCACAGCAGAACACAGGAGATAATGCAGTAGACCCTTCACAGCCAGTTGCCTCCATGGCCTCAGAAAGGATTTTGATGAGAAGGGATTCTTACATGGCTGTGTGTGACCATCTGTTTGTTAGAAGCCAGCAGCAGTGACTCATTTTCAAGCAAACATCATTTTGGGCACTGTGTGAGCTCAGCTTCTAAGCCAACATTGTCTCTTGATCCAGCACAAGGAGAAGGGGGTGGCCCATTGTCTGTCCCACAGCACAGGCAAGAAAATGTGAGGAAGAGAAACCAAGACTAAGATCCCTGCTGATCCATTTGGTTTTTGCCTTGGTGCCTCCTGTGCTCTGGCAGGCAGTGATTTCTGCTGAGGGCTCCTGCCTGTTCTCCTGGGGCACTGAGGTGCCTGCCCCAGCTGGCTGCTGTGCTCTGCAGAACAGAATTGGAGCCTGTTTCTTTATTAGAGACATGCTGCCAGAAGCCAGAGAGTTCACATCTGACTCAGAACTTCCCCAAAGTTTGAGGACATGCAGATCATCTCTCCAACCCCCATCTCAAATCCATATCCAGTGCAATCTGGATCCTGTCCCAGCAAGGCGAGTTTTTTGGGAACTCTCTTAACTCAGATTTCATCTAAAAACTAATGAACATCTCCCCAGATTGGTCCACTCAGCAGCCACTGGTTTCTAATGGGTGTAAAGCACTAGCAGGAGACAAGACCATCTTCACTCTGTTGTATTTGCCCTTTCTATGCTCTTACCTTTGAGTAGGTTTTTCCGCCCTTCAGCTCCTATATTGGGAAACAAAACAGGAAAAGCAGCTATTATATGTGCTGGGGCAACAGGGGGGGAAAATTCATTATTCAGTCCTGGAATCTGCTCTCAAGATTCACAAGCCTCTCTCTCAAGGGTTACCACCACCTTGGTCGCTCCCATATCCTCCATCAAGGACTTTTCTTGGAGAGAGAGGCTCCATTCCAGCATATCCTGTCCCAAACCATCTTTCCTTCCCACCACAGCCCACACAATTTTTCTTGCTGGCAGAAAGCAGCCAGTAAGCAGCTGCCAGCACAGCACTGGTGTGGGGGAAGCTGGCAGCAGCAAAGCTGGGGCTCACCTTGCGCACAGACACTCGGCAGACACAGGGGTCCAGGAGCCCCGTGGCAGGGTTGGCACTCATCTTACACACAAAGGTGAATTTCTTTTTCCAGCGGACACAGTTCTCCTGAACTTCCTCTCTGTGAGAATCAGAAGAAAAAAAAAAATTCAAATAAATGTACAAAGCCAAATCAAGATCAGCTATTAAGTATCTTTTATAATGACTGGCATCCTAGCCCATAAAGATGCTCTGCAGCAGCTTGGTTCACCTGAAACTGAACCACACAAAGGTGTTAAGTTAGTATCAAGCTTTTCACCAGTCAATACAGGTAAAATCCACCCAGGTTACAGAAATATTAATCATCTCATCAACAGAATTTGCCTTTAAAACTCTCCCAAGCTCTGACATTTCCTGCTCAGCCGGTTTAGCTCATTCTCTGTCCAGCCTGCACAGAGCAAATCTCCACACCTGAACTGGGCTGAAGGTTCACAAGCTTATCTCCCCCCAGCATGTCTGTCTGTGCAGCCTCTGCACAGCAAAGTGCTCTGTGTCCTGGATGGCCTGTCCTTCCCTGCCACTGGGGCTGGCACTCAGTGAGGATGGCCAGCCTGAAGGAGGACACAAACACATGTGGAAATGCTCCTGGGGCAAGCAGACAGGGTCACACCAAGCAAACATTGCTCAAATCCCACAGGGGCTCAGCCAGGGGAGAGGTGGTTTTGCTTGCACAGCTTCTGAGCAGACCATCCTGATCTCCAGGCTGAGTGGGGAACACATGGCTCTGGCATGGCCTGAGCCTGCAGGAGGAAGAGAAGAAACCTTCCTGAGTGCAGGATCACTTCAGCTGCAGCTCTGGCTTCCACACAGCCCTCAGGGGAAGCTGAATTTTAAATTCCAAGGAAGCTGATTCAAAGGAACCTGGAAATAAGGTGTGTGGGTCCTTCCACAGGGCTCTAGTTTCCTACTGAGCCTCTACAGGCTCAGAGCTTGGCCCTCAGCCAGTCCAGTCCTCAAAGTGATGAGGCCGGGGAGGAAGGGAAGGCACTGACAGCTGTGAGCAAGCAAGTCTGACTCTTATCTCTCCTCCTAGCACAGGACAAAGGTGCAAGGGCAGCTGATAAACTGTTTGCTTTAGCAGGGAAAGGGAAGCTTCCCACCATCTGACCCAGGCCAAAGGGATGGTGGCAAAGGGGAGAGTGATCAGCCTTGGTAGAGTAGTGTCTCCTCTTCCTGGGAAGGAAGGGGAAGAAGCTGGAGCTCACATTTCATTAGGGTAATCTCGAAGTGAGCCCAAGGGGACAGACCCAGGGACTCAATCCTGAGACAAGAGGTCCCTGCTGGTCCTCCAAGGCATTCTGTGGGACCAAATGTGCCAGCCAAGGGAGACACAGAGAATAGAAAAGGAGTAGCTGACAAAAACCTGAAACCTGTAATCCTCTGTAATGCAGATAAAAGCTGATCATCCCTGTTTAAAACAAGAGAAAACAGAAGGCAACAATTCCTTCAAGGTAGAGAACTTAAATCCCTTCCAGACAGAACTCAGGCTCACTATTAAGTCAGTAAAAAGTGAGACATCTAAGTGCCAAAAATACCTTTGAATCCGGGATTATTAATTCAAGATGAGATCTGGTTCTCATTACTTCACTCAACTCACCCCAGCTCTCTCAGACAGGAGGAAGAAACACATCCAGAGGGATTAAAAAGGTTTTGTCAGTAATAAAATATTCACCATGCCAGCCAAATTAGGCATGTTACATTTCAAATATGGGTGCCTTAAACCTGCCTCAATAATAAGCATCTTAAATGGCCTGAAGGAAGGAAAAACTCACGATACAGATGAGAAAAGGTATGCAACAGAATGGAAAACCACCTGCAAACACAAGGCAGGTACAGGGGGTTGCAGGAAACACTGAATATTTTAGGAGCATTAGTCACCTTTGGAAAGGAACTGCTATTTTTCAGAAAGCAAGGCTGATGCTAAAGCTACTACTGACATCAGAGCTACAAGTGAAAGCTGTTCAGTCAGCCAGCAGCACACCTGGTTCCCAACCCTGCCACACAAGAGCATTCATGGGATGCTCCCTCCAGCTCCCACAGCTGCAGGATCCTCAGTGGGATCAAGAGCTGCTCCAGCATTGTGAGCTGAGCTTCCTTACTCAGGAATTCTTGCTCCTTCTACAATGCAGCCATGATTAGGCATCTGCTGGATGGTGCTAAGTCCAATGAAGGCTAATTACTTCCAAACGTGGTAAAAAGTCCTGATTAGCAATCCAGAGCTCCAGAGCTAATTTGCCTTCAGCCTAAGCTCCTCTAACAGACATTCTGCTTCTTATTAAGGATGTACATTGGCTTTCCAGAACTGCTGCAGATACCACACAGTGCAGGGGATTAGGAAAAGGATTTGGGGGTGTTATGTTACCCACAGCACTGTGATCATGAACCTCAGCTGCAGGTGCACGCACAGCTTAGGGGTTTTGTGCCTTTGGAACAGCCTGCACATGGCAAGAGGGAGTTTAGAAGACAAAACCCAGAGCTGCTTTCCAGTCACAAGTTTCACAATCGTTCAATAATTAATTTCAACCTTTTTTGGTTTTTTATTTTAAAGGGTGGAGGCTGGGTCTGTATCATTAGACAAACAAGCAACAGCTCTATTGTTTCACACTGCACTCTAAAAAATTAGTTCCACATTTCCAGAAGATGGCATGTAGAGAAGAAATGGGCTTTGCCTACCCACCTCCCTTCAAGTTAGGCTGGTAATTAGAGAACACTAAAAAAGGGACAAAAAAAAGGAGAACTCAGATGATGAGCAGTTTTGTATTTAGCCCTGGAATATTCTCTGATGTACAATTATGAACCACCATACAGAAACAAAAAAAACACCCAAGCAGCATGGTGAGGGCTGCACTGAGAGAAGTTTTCTTTCATCCTAATCACAAGGCAACTAAAAGTAAAGCAGAAATGAACAGCTTAAAACCAGAAGTGTCTAATTTTAAGTTTCACTCTGTATTTGGAGAACCAGAAATAGTTCACACCAATCCCAGGTCTAGGTGCCAATTCAACGGGTCTTCAGAAGTTTTATTTTAAAAAAGCTGTCTGTATCATTTTGCAAAAAGACTCCCAGAAGGTTGAATCCCTGCCAAACTAAGCTTTGCCCTCTTCTGACTTCAGACTTATTCAAAGCTGTGTAATTACTCTTTCCAGACCTAAATATACCTCCTCAGAATAAACCAGTGCAATCCTGTGGCAGCTTTTGTGAAAAGCAGAGTTCTGGAAAGAGCTTTGTGAGGTTTTCTAATCCTGGAGCTGCTCATCTACCTCCAGCTCGAGGAAGAGCTTTTTGCATCCCTCATTCTGCCTCTCAAGAGAAGATTCACCAGGAAAAAAGCAGCTGGAAGAATGCTTCACCATAGCATGGTGAGGATTCAAGTGATGGGAATGATGCCCAGCAGGGACCCACTGCTCTGCCTGATTTTGGAGGGGCAGCAGAGAACTCAGGGAAGCCTCCAAGGCCACTCTGGGTTGAGATCTCACACACAGCTCTGGAGACAGGCAGAAAAACACACAAGAAACACCTTAAAGAGATGTTTCGAGCTGTGGTGAAAGTGCCATGGACACACCAGCACTCTGAATGGCTCACTCTGAATTCAAGCTGGTAAAGCAAACACTTCTAGAAAAAGGCCACATATCCAACCCATGCTATCTTGGGCTACACTGTGAACCTCTCTCCCACATGAAAACCCAGCTAATGAAACACTAGAGCAGAGATTAAAACTTCTATTTACAGACTCAGAGCTGAGCTATGGGTATCAACCTTCCAACACCACCCCCTGAAACACTTTGGCCTTGCTGAAGCATTTAGAAAAGCAGATGTTTCACTCCTGCTTTATGGCAGTTGTCACACATCAGACAGTGTCATAAAAAGGCCACAGCCTTATTGAAAGGGCTGCAGCAACAAAAAATAGCTTTTAATGTTAAACATTTCACTAGAGCAATGTCTCAGTCTGATGTTTCATGCGTGGGGCAAATGTGGGAAAACCTCAGGCTAAACGGGACAGTAGAGATAAGCACACACAAAGAGCTTCTTATTCAGATTTACTCCCCCTCCTTACACAGAGGGGAAGGGTAAGCTTTCCTATTGCTGATGCTCAGTCCACATGCTCACTGTCCCCCTTCTGAGATGTGGATCTGTGTCAGAGCCTTCAAGCAGAACTAATCCCCCTCTCAGCAGAGCCAGTCCTCTGCAGCCTCCTCCCTGCTTCACCACTGCAGCAGCATCTTATCTGATAAGGCACAGGAGAGATAACACCATTTTAAAGAGGCTGCCAAGCCAACTCCCAGCTCAGATTCTTTTAAGTGCAGTGAAAAACAGCCCTTCAAGGGGCCCTGACACACACCAGCAGTGTCTTTTAGGGAGTAAGGGAACACAATCCCTGCAATGCAGGTACAATCCCCTCAATCACAGAGAAACAAAATATCACATTATTTCAGCAGATTGCATTGAAAGCCATCTTCTACACCATTCCTTTGCAGAGCTCTGCTTTCATCTGCAGAGACACAGTAAAACAGTCCCATCTAATCCCCAGCCCTTCCAAAGGCTGAATAGAGCAGAATCACTGACACTCCCATAGCTTGGAAAAGCCTGGAATAATCCTGCATTTTGCTCCACAGAAGACAGTTACTATTTTAACTAGGTTATCTAGTGCAAAGCTGTAGGAGAGACCTTTGGTAAATGCAAGGAAAAATCCCTGAAAAGCCTGTTTTGAAACTGACTTTCTAGGATGTTCAGGAACCAGAACACCCCGTTGTTCACAGCACACCAAAATACATCCCCATCCTACAAACACAGCAGGTCCTGCCACAAACAATGCCTAATCACTGCCTATAAAACACAGGAATTGCAAAAGTGGGTGAACATACATATGTAACACAAAGCAAGGCCTCATTTAGCCATTAGCTGGTTTAGAGTTACCTGCAGGTTCTGGATTGTATCTCAAAATAAAGGGCTTAGGACAGGGCACTTCACAGCAGTTATTAAAGAAAAATGCAGCTCTGAGGCTTTGCCACCCTGATGCCTGGCAAGGAAAAGGAGGGGAATTCACAGTGAGGAGAATGCACAGTGGGCAGACACCAGGAACAGGT